GTCTCCATGTATACTGTACAGATATATACTGACTGTCTCCATGTATACTGTACAGATATATAATGTCTCCAAGTATACTGAACAGATATATACTGACTGTCTCCATGTATACTGTACAGATATATAATGTCTGTCACCATGTATACTGTTCAGATATATACTGACTGTCTCCATGTATACTGTACAGATATATACTGACTGTCTCCATGTATACTGTACAGGTATATACTGACTGTCTCCATGTATACTGTACAGATATATACTGACTGTCTCCATGTATACTGTACAGATATATACTGACTGTCTCCATATATAATGTACAGATATATACCTTCTCCATGCATACTATACAGATGTATACTGTCTCCATGTATACTGTACAGATATATACTGACTGTCTTCATGTATACTGTACAGATATATAATGTCTCCAAGTATACTGAACAGATATATACTGACTGTCTCCATGTATACTGTACAGATATATAATGTCTGTCACCATGTATACTGTTCAGATATATACTGACTGTCTCCATGTATACTGTACAGATATATACTGACTGTCTCCATGTATACTGTACAGGTATATACTGTCTCCATGTATACTGTACAGATATATACTGACTGTCTCCATGTATACTGTACAGATATATACTGACTGTCTCCATATATAATGTACAGATATATACCTTCTCCATGCATACTGTACAGATGTATACTGTCTCCATGTATACTGTACAGATATATACTGACTGTCTCCATGTATACTGTACAGATATATAATGTCTCCAAGTATACTGAACAGATATATACTGACTGTCTCCATGTATACTGTACAGATATATAATGTCTGTCACCATGTATACTGTTCAGATATATACTGACTGTCTCCATGTATACTGTACAGATATATACTGACTGTCTCCATGTATACTGTGCAGATATATACTGGCACTCTCCATGTATACTGTAGTAGTATATACTGACTGTTTCCATGTATACTGTACAGATATATACTGACTGTCACCATGTATACTGTACAGATATATACTGTCTCTATACTGTACAGATATATAATTATTGTCTCAATGTATACTGTTCAGATATATACTGTCTCCAAGTATACTGTACAGATATATACTGACTGTCTCCATCTATACTGTACAGATATATACTGACTGTCTCCATACTGTACAGATATATACTGTCTCCATGTATACTGTATAGCTATATACTGTCTCCATGTATACTGTACAGTAATATACTGACTGTCTCCATGTATACTGTTCAGATATATACTGACTGTCTCCATGTATACTGTACAGATATATACTGACTGTCTCCATGTATACTGTACAGGTATATACTGACTGTCTCCATATATACTGTGCAGATATATACTATGTGTCACCATGTATACTGTACAGGTATATACTGACTGTCTCCATGTATACTGTACAGATATATACTGACTGTCTCCATGTATAATGTACAGATATATACTGACTGTCTCCATGTATACTGTAGTAGTATATACTGACTGTTTCCATGTATACTGTACAGATATATACTGACTGTCACCATGTATACTGTACAGATATATACTGTCTCTATACTGTACAGATATATACTGACTGTCACCATGTATACTGTACAGATATATATTGACTGTCTCCATGTATACTGTACAGATATATACTGACTGTCTCCATGTTTACTGTACAAATATGTACAGACATGTATACTGTACAGATATATACTGACTGTCACCATGTATACTGTACAGATATATACTGTCTCTATACTGTACAGATATATAATTATTGTCTCAATGTATACTGTTTAGATATATACTGTCTCCAAGTATACTGTACAGATATATACTGAATGTCTCCATCTATACTGTACAGATATATACTGACTGTCTCCATACTGTACAGATATATACTGTCTCCATGTGTACTGTACAGCTATATACTGTCTCCATGTATACTGTACAGGTATATACTGACTGTCTCCATGTATACTGTTCAGATATATACTGACTGTCTCCATGTATAATGTACAGATATATACTGACTGTCTCCATTTATACTGTACAGATATATACTGACTGTCTCCATGTATACTGTAGTAGTATATACTGACTGTCACCATGTATTCTTTACAGATATATACTGTCTGTCACCATGTATACTGTTCAGATATATGCTGTCTCCATGTATACTGTACAGATATATACTGTCTGTCACCATGTATACTGTTCAGATATATACTGACTGTCTCCATGTATACTGTTCAGATATATACTATCACCATGTATACTGTACAGGTATATACTGACTGTCTCCATGTATACTGTTCAGATATATACTGACTGTCTCCATGTATACTGTACAAGTATATACTGACTGTCTCCATGTATACTGTGCAGATATATACTATGTGTCACCATGTATACTGTACAGATATATACTGTCTCCATGTATACTGTGCAGATATATACTGACTGTCTCCATGTATACTGTACAGATATATACTGACTGTCTCCATGCATACTGTAGTAGTATATACTGTTTCCATGTATACTGTACAGATATATACTGACTGTCTCCATGTATACTGTACAGATATATACTGACTGTCTACATGTTTACTGTACAAATATATACAGACATGTCTACTGTACAGATATATACTGACTGTCACCATGTATACTGTACAGATATATACTGTCTCTATACTGTACAGATATATGTTGTCTCCACGTATACTGTACAAGTATATACTGACTGTCTCCATGTATACTGTTCAGATATATACTGACTGTCTCCATGTATACTGTTCAGATATATACTGACTGTCTCCATGTATACTGTTCAGATATATACTGACTGTCTCCATGTATACTGTAGATATATACTGACTGTCTTCATGTATACTGTACAGATATATACTGTCTCTATACTGTACAGATATATACTGTCTCCATGTATATTGTACAGATATATGTTGTCTCCATGTATACTGTACAGGTATATACTGACTGTCTCCATGTATACTGTGCAGATATATACTATGTGTCACCATGTATACTGTACAGATATATACTGTCTCCATGTATACTGTACAGATATATACTGACTGTCTCAATGTATACTGTACAGATATATACTGACTGTTTCCATGTATACTGTACAGATATATACTGACTATCACTTAGTATACTGTTCAGATATATTGACTGTCTCCATGTATACTGTACAGATATATACTGTCTCCATTTATACTGTACAGATATATACTGACTGTCTCCATGTATACTGTAGTAGTATATACTGACTGTCACCAAGTATTCTTTACAGATATATACTGTCTGTCACCATGTATACTGTTCAGATATATGCTGTCTCCATGTATACTGTACAGATATATACTGTCTCTCACCATGTATACTGTTCAGATATATACTGACTGTCTCCATGTATACTGTTCAGATATATACTATCACCATGTATACTGTACAGATATATACTGTCTCCATGTATACTGTACAGATATATACTGTCTGTCACCATGTATACTGTTCAGATATATACTGACTGTCTCCATGTACACTGTTCAGATATATACTATCACCATGTATACTGTACAGATATATACTGACTGTCTTCATGTATACTGTACAGATATATACTGTCTCCATGTATACTGTACAGATATATACTGTCACCAAGTATACTGAACAGATATATACTGACTGTCTCCATGTATACTGTACAGATATATGTTGTCTCCATGTATACTGTACAGGTATATACTGACTGTCTCCATGTATACTGTTCAGATATATACTGACTGTCTCCATGTATACTGTAGATATATACTGACTGTCTTCATGTATACTGTACAGATATATACTGTCTCTATACTGTACAGATATATACTGTCTCCATGTATATTGTACAGATATATGTTGTCTCCATGTATACTGTACAAGTATATACTGACTGTCTCCATGTATACTGTGCAGATATATACTATGTGTCACCATGTGTACTGTACAGATATATACTGTCTCCATGTATACTGTACAGATATATACTGACTGTCTCCATGTATACTGTACAGATATATGCTGTCTCCATGTATATTATACAGATATATACTTTTTCCGTTTATGCTGTTCAAGTACCTAGAGACTGTTTCTCTGTATATGATACCATTATATGTATAGTGAAGCTTTGTGACTTCATTTGAAATATAAAACTCTCACAATTTACAGTCTACTGACTCATATTTAGTAATATATAATGAGTTGTGTTTAAAAACAGTAATCAGTGTTAATTTTAAGAAACATATAAAATAAAGAGATAATTTTATCACAAAACTAATAGGTTAAATAGATTGAGCCCTCTGTATATAACAATATCTATAGATAGGATGTTAAACAGTATAAAGACGGATTGAGAAGACAGGGTAGCTATACTGGCTTGCTACATATGGTTATTTATTCCCAGTTTCCAGTTTTTGTACAGACTGTCATGCATGTTTATTTTCAATTTTCCTGAGTTTGAGCTTTTAATATTATTGATTTTGATGTTGATCCATTGATTTTGTTTGTTATCATTGAAATTTAGATTTAGTTAATTTCTATATGGTTTTATGTAAATGTATCACAAATGAATAAATCCTTTTGTATAAAACTCTTGTAAAGATATTTAAAAGTGAAAAAAAAACAGTCATCATGGGTCAGGTTTGTTTCATCAATAGCAAAAGATGTCTTTTCTATGAAATGTAAGTTTTTATTTACCAATAAATGTTGGATCATAGTGGCATTTACCCCATGTATTAACAACTTACCTGACACTGTTTTGAAATTCTTTATAGGACCTATATTTTACCTACAGTAATAGTTGTATTTTGTTGGGTGAGCATCTCTTTATGTACTTTGTAGTTGTCAGTCCTACTTGAGCCTAATCTATTCTGTTTCATTTCAGCCTCCACCTATGCTTCCAAAAGGAAAATTTTCTGAAGAATTCATTGATTTTGTTGACAAATGGTGAGTTTACACCATTTTTTTTTTTGAGCTTGTTCCATTATGATCAAAGATAACGAGTATAGATCACAGAATGATGACAGGTGATAACTTATGTGTAGTATCTGTTACTATAATATGTTTTTTAACTACAACTGTTATTCTTTTATTGGAGAATAAAGCACTAATCACAGAGCATTGTGTGTTTTCAGTTTGAAGAAAAACCCATCAGACAGAGCAGATCTTTCCTCATTGATGGTATGGATGTCACTTTTTTCTTCATTTATTCATGGAAAAATTGGTTGTTGCATGTCCCATTGTCTTAGTGTCAAGTGTTCCATTGTCTGTCAAGTGTTCCATTCTCTTAGTGTCAAGTGTTCCATTGTCTGTCAAGTGTCCCATTGTCTTAGTGTCAAGTGTTCCATTGTCTGTCAAGTGTTCCATGGTCTTAATGTCAAGTGTTCCATTGTCTGTCAAGTGTTCCATGGTCTTAATGTCAAGTGTTTTATTGTCTGTCAAGTGTTCCATTGTCTTAGTGTCTAGTGTTCTGTTGTGTTAGAGTCTACTATCCCATTGTCTTAGTGTCTAGTGTTCTGTTGTGTTAGAGTCTACTATCCCATTGTCTTAGTGTCTAGTGTTCTGTTGTGTTAGAGTCTACTATCCCATTGTCTTAGTGTCTAGTGTTCTGTTGTGTTAGAGTCTACTATCCCATTGTCTTAGTGTCTAGTGTTCTGTTGTGTTAGAGTCTACTATCTTATTGTCTTAGTGTCTAGTGTTCTGTTGTGTTAGAGTCTACTATCTTATTGTCTTAGTGTCTAGTGTTCTGTTGTGTTAGAGTCTACTATCCCATTGTCTTAGTGTCTAGTGTTCTGTTGTGTTAGAGTCTACTATCTTATTGTCTTAGTGTCTAGTGTTCTGTTGTGTTAGAGTCTACTATTCCATTGTCTTAGTGTCTAGTGTTCTGTTGTGTTAGAGTCTACTATCTTATTGTCTTTGTGTCAAGTGTTCCATTGTCTTAGAGTTAATTTGTTATCACTTTCTTGAGAAGTACTGGATGGATCTCAAATTTCATATGTAGACACCCCTTGGTCCCTAGTTGTGCCTGTTGGTTTTGGGGACCAATATATAAACAAAATGGCCAACAGGCAACCCTCTTGGTTTTTGACTTTGAAAGTTTCACTATTTGTTGAGAAATACTACATAGATCTATCTCAAATTTCATGTGTAGGTTCCCTTTTGTCCCTTGTTGTGGTCGTTGATTTCGGGACTGATTTGAATAACAGAATGGCTGACAGGTGGCCATCTTATCTTTCACCTAGTGAAGTTTGTTATCACTATTTCTTGAGAATGACTTCGTAGATCTATCTCAAATTTTATGTGTAGGTTCCTCTTGGTCCCTAGTTGTGTCGGGTTGATTTTCAGAGAAACAAAATTGCTCGCAGGCAACCATCTCAAATTTGGCAGTTTAAGATTATTTTTTGCTATTTCTGCTCAGGAATGTTCAAATTTCTTATCATTAAACAGAAGGAAATTGAAAAGAAGGGAAAAGATCCAACTTTCAAAGAACAAAGAAATATCAAACAATAGTGGGTGCCGTCTCCCTTTGGGATCTCTTGTTTAAATAAATTTTGAAGTACTTTGCAAGATATTACTTGCCCATTTGGATAACTTATTTTGAAATAACTTGGTACTCAAATGACGAGAGATTGCGAGTCAATGTGCTGCAACTGTTGTTGGACTAGATTGGGACAAATTTGACAGGGTATTGTTTGCCAATTTGTTACAACTAATGTTATGTCCTGTGACTGGGTAGTCTTTGTCCATAACTCTGGTAGTCTTTGTCCATAACTATCATTTCCAAATTTTCATTTTATATTCTGTGAAGAGCACCTCCATTCTCTGTGTATATATTTTGGTCAGATGACCATTGGTTCTGTTGGCCTGACTTGTTTCAAAAAGTTATTTAAAAAGTCAACAGGGTTTTACAGCAAAGTTACTGGCAACATATATGTAAGTTTTGATTCTGAAATTCTCGAAATTTGAATATGTGTAACATTAAATGGCCACAACTCCATCAAAAGTGAGAATGTGAAAGCAACATTCAGCTTTGTTTTTTTGCTCTTTATAAGAAAGAAACCCTATCAATATTTATTTAGAATTCTTGATTTAAAAAAGAGAAGAAAAAAAAATCAAAATTCTAGAAAATAATTTTAAAGGGTCATAACTCCATCAAAAATGTGAATGTGTAAACCAGGCTCAATCTCGTTTTGTAGCATGTTGTAGGAAATATGTACATAAAAGTTTTCATCTGAAGATCTTGATTTATTGCGCAAAAAAAAAAAAAAAAAAAAAGCACACAGTCCGCTAATGCCTGACGAACGGACTGACTGATTCTGCATGCTAAACCTATAGTACTCTCCCGAAGTAATGCTGGTATGGGAGAAACTACAATTACAACACACGTGCAATCCTCATATAAAATCTATCAGAAAAATTCCATTTATAGAGTTGGTGGGTAGAAATGTAAGGCTGTTGTAAGAAACAGATACATAATATGCCCATCTTACCATATCCAATTATTTGGTTGATGTGTTAGTTATTTATAGTACAATATATGATTGTATAACTTGTTTTTTCCAAATGTAATCAATACTATCATTGAGGAATATACCCTGTTGTTGTGACATTTCCTTGAAGTAAAAGATGTTGTTCCAATGTAGAAGTAGGATTGATAAGTAATGAACTACCAAGCATGTCTCAATATGTAAGAAACCTGAACATGTATTTATACTGGATGAATAATAAGTTACCATTATGCTACTAATTTATCACTACTTAAGGTAATATAATGTTATATGTGAAAATTGGGACGTAGTGACCTGTTGAGTATGTCCCAATTCGTAACAGCATGAGACGTGAGTGCATGACACATTTGTCAGTACACAAATCAAGCAAATTCAAAGAATTGTGGTCCCTTGATTTACCAAATCAAAAAATTTTGTTACGGACGGGCAGACAGGTGGAGAGAGAAAAAAGATTCAACAACTTGTAATGGCAGGAGACACAGTTATAGGAACAGTGATATAATGATTAGTCCATTACAGAAATAGGTTATTGGATCAGTGGAGTAACATGTCAGAAGCAATTGTTTCACATTTTAATTAAATTGGCCTAAAAGCATTTAAGCAACAGCTCAAATTCTCAACGCCAATCAAAGGCGGCCAGCTTGGAGTGAGTGGTTGTATCTAGTGGAGAGTTGTGTGGTAATTTTACATAGGCATATTATGTTTGAATAAAATTTGGTGCAGTAGATCAACTCAGCCTATCAAAGCCTCCTGCTAATTAGACAAAGCTATTGTGCAAAGACAAAATGGTTAACAGGAGAGAAAAGATATGGACAGAGATCATGTCGTTACAAATTGCCACACTATATCAATCAATTGGCATACTACACCTCCTTCGTCTGTTTAAACCTATCTCTCTTATACTTGGTAGACTTCATAGCTATTTCATGGAATTGTTTTCCTTATTGGCATCGTGATTTTTACAAATTTGGGAAGAGTTATTGCCCTTTAGGTTTTCTTTGAGAAAGCCGCAATCTCAAGTGATTTAGACATCTGACCGTCTTTATCACTAGCTCTCAACCTGTGTACCGAGGTTTACAAAAGACAGTCACCAGGTACTAGTCACAGCTGGATGATTTTTCCTGACACATCTTTAAATGACCTTGGTGTCAATAACCTTGGTGCCAATATAATGTAAAGCAACTATAAACCATACCAAAAATCTTTGAAACATGATAGTCTTTAAAACCACAATATGGAACGTGTTCTCATAAAAATAAAATTTTGATTTTACCATATTTCATTGCTTCAAATATTACTTCCAACTTTGAATAAAAAATCATGTAAATTTGTTGAAGTCCTAACTCTAGTTCTCTTATTACCTTACCTATTCAACATAAAAAAAAACAACAAAAATCCATGTTTGTGACCTTTACTAGCTAAAGGTACTACTATTAGTTAAGATAACATAAAAATATAATACAACATAAAGTGTATTTCCTCTAAATGCTTTTTCATCTTTATGAACAGAATCATCCTTTTGTGACCCGATCAGAGACAGAAGATGTAGACATCGGTCACTGGGTGTGTAAGGTGATGAAGACAAACTCAGAGACCTAGTGTCCAGAGATGACAGTAGCTGTGGTTTTTCTTACATTACACCTGGAGGCACACAGATGGTATTGCGATGTTTTTGGTCCCAGGGATCGACTGCTGATGATTTGAGAAAGAAGCTGCTGGACTTGTATCAATTGTTTATCACAGTGTAGCATGTATTAGAGGTTGGGGGAAGTGTGCTGGGCACTGTCACAATATAGGGGACAGTCTTGCTCCATATTTCTTATGTATGTTTACACACACACACTTCTGGCATTTCAAACATGGTCTTTTTTCTTTACTAGAGGAGCAGATAGGAGGAGATTGGTAAATGCCACACGCAAGAAAGTTTGGATCTTTACAGAGTTAAACTTATTTTCAGATTGTACATGATGATAGTTCTTTTTGGAATGCGTGGAGGATGAATGTTGAGATATATTTATACTCTGACAGAATGCCCCATCTTCTAAACGTGTTTGACAGGTTTCTGTCACATTTCTGTTGTTTTGGGGACAGTTGAGTGCATATTTTATAGATCATGAAGACAAATTGAATACTAGTAAATGTATGTAAAGATTTTTTGTTCATTTGAAAATAATTGTTATATCTACCAAGATCTGTTGATGTAATTTTTCTTATATTTGGTACTTCATGTACATTGTACTTACTTACTTATTTTTTAACTTTGGAATAAAATTACAATAAGTGAGATCAGTGGTTTAGACTGTAGAAAGATGAAGATCCACAGTTATAGCTCTCGGAATACATCATTATGAAACCTCTCAAATCGGGGAGAAATACTTACTTCTTGCAAAGTAATTTTTTATGTATCTTACCATGTTAATAATTAATTAAACTTCAATTCTTTACTGGGTTATTTTCAACGTATTACCCAGCCCCTATTTTGTTGTAACTGATGGATTATAGTCTGTCAAAAACCATGTTGCTCTCTTTTTTTTTTTTTCTTTTTTTCCTTCATTAATAATAAATGAATGGTGAAATTAACTTTTGTCAGCATGTTTTGGTCCTGAAAGGAATCAGTTACAAATATAGACCATGGCCTATCGATGGTTTAGACTCATATTTTTCCATAATTGATCAAATTGGATATGGGTTCCTGTCATAAATGTATGCAATATAAAAGTGTGTGTTTCTTAAACAAGGATTCCATGTCTTATGTCATAACTATCTGTTTAATAATGACTTGTGAATTGTTTCTGTAAGGTACATATTTATATATCTAAATGAAGATTGTGCTGTCATTGACTTGTTACATGCAATTACACTATATTGTATCGGTTAAGTGGTATTTTCTGAGTCCACTACTCTGTGCATCATTCCCCTCTCTATCTGGATCTTCCATGATTGTGTTGTAAACTCGCATTTCTCATGGCATGGTAGAAATTTCATGTTGTCATGATGTCATGATTTATTCATAAATTTGTGGATACAAATATTTACTTCCCTGTAATAAGCACAAATAGGTTGTTGGTTGATTGAGCCTTGTAGATATCACTATTATGACTGATTAACTGATGTGTCTGTCTGTGCAGGATAGTGTGAACAATACTGTTTTATATTGTTTCAATGCATATCTTGATCACTGAGGTGTTGATAAATTTATACATAAAATGATTGCTGATCTGAAGTGTTTATGATAAAATGTCAGCAACAATGAAGTGTTTATTATGGAATATCAGGATCACTGAAGTGTTTAAATGGGATGTCAGGATCACTGAAGTGTTTAAATGAAATGTCAGGATCACTAAAGTGTTTAAATGAATGGTAAATATCAGGATCACTGAAGTGATTAAATGAAATAACAGGATAAGTGATATGTTTATCTAAAGGTTTATCACTGAAATGATATATTGAAATATCAGGATCACGGAAGTGTTTGTAAGATACATCAGGATCATGAAGAGTTTTATAATGATCATGACAACATTGTGTTACAAGATCATGATATATGATGTAACTATTTTTAATATACCTTTAAAAGCAGATCATAATTGAAGGTACTTTAGAAATTGATGGTGCTGTAACTTACATGTTCAGGTGGATCAGTTCAGACACAATATCCAAACAACATTCCTAATTTACTACTAAATAAGTAAGTACTTTGTTAATGTTTATATCTACTAAATAATCATTTTGGTATTTCTTGTTTCTAAGTCTAGGACCAGAAATTATAGGAAGTTGATGATTTGTTTTTGACAGCTGTGATAGTGGTTGTTATAGATTAGGATTACAGGCATCTATTGTACAACTAATAAATCATTTGTCACAGTTTTCTTGGCTGCTGTTAGCAGCGTTGTACAGGACATGTTCAGTATTGTTGATTCCGATAGACATAGATAAGTTGATTCAATGTTCATAACTTATATAGTTTAGTTCCTAAAGATACTTCACTGTACAGTGCAGTAGGTAACACCATTCTCTATCCAATCACCAAAATGTGGAATAAATTAGTGTTATTTCTGCAGATAGAATTGATGAATAAGTTTATCAGCGGACATAGATATATCTATATAGGTCTGTGGTCATTCACAATAAAGTTGTTCACATTCACTCACTCAAGATGATATTCATGTTTTTTTCCAAGGAGAATCATTTCTGTATATGGAATGTAATGTTTTTGTCTTTTTTTCTGTGTTACTAGTATCAGTTTTTATCATGATTAAATGTACTGGTTACAACTACATTTGACAAATTTCTGTTTACAATGATAGTGCATATAGATTGTATAATGTATCGCAAACAGTTGAACAAAAAGGCAACTCTTGAGAGTTAGGATGCCATTGGTCAGTGAAATTGTAGGAATCTGATGTTTAGTGTATAAGATAAGAGAAAAGACCATAGATATATCCCAGTATTATATAGACATTATATACTTTAAGTGCTATTTCTCTCTTTTACAGGGTTTTCTCTTATTTTACATACTACATTAAAACTTACATGTAATTGTCCATATTCATAATCCAGAATTGTTACAATAGTGCTCATGTCCTTGGAGTGCAGTTTGGCCTTTTTGACATTCTGTAAGTTGTAATTGCTATGCGAGTATAGTCTTAATACACTCTTTTGTATATTATAGTTTCCCATCGTTTGTCAGAAATGAAAAATTAATCAACTTGATACAAAATAAAAAGTAACAGAATTTTCAAAGACTGAGTTTTTTGTTGACATTTTATATCATAAAGTACTGCATATTAGACTGTTGATGAAGATTTAGAACAAGGCAGGTCCTTGAACATTGTCTTGCCACCCTCTACTAGTGACTGATTTCTGTGAAGACTTAAAAGTTTGACTTGTTTTATACTTGTTAGGTTGATCATTTATCCCATAACTGTTGATACTGTGGAGTAGTAGTTGACCGTGAGACTAAGTCAAGCATGTTTAGATAGATAACCGTTTTCTTTTACTCAAATAATTATTACTCTATATATATGACACAAGAATTCACTTGGTGGAAGGATCCTTGTCATCCATGACCTTAACAAGATTTTGGCAGTAATCATAATTAAGGAAGTAGAAATATGGCTGCTGTTTATAAATCTGTATATATATATATACTACAAACATAAATGTGTTTGTTTGGTTCAACTGAGCTGTTATTTATGCCAAAAGTGCACTGATGTGCAATATTTTTCTGGCTTTTCGTTGTCCCAAAATTTTAAAATGAAAATCAATGTATGAATTATATTTGTTTTCACAGGGGCGTGGCGAGCAAAGCCCCTTCACTGAAATCATAATAACTGTCCTAAATGAATAAATTACAACTCGTAGTAAGAAATCGACAGAATTGTAGTGTAGGCCTACGTGAATTTAAGGTAATTAAGTTGTGAATGGAAAGGGTTACGATAGCTATCTGTCACAGTTTTATTATTTCTTATCTGGAATTGTTTTTTGGTGTGTCTCAATTTTCAAAAATAATGCGGCACTACATCTTTCCTGTCATCCTCTTCTATGAAAATATACTAATGTTTGTCCGAAAGTGTATGAAAATGTAGGGGAGACCTCTCGCTGTTCCAGAACATCATGAAACTACCTGGGGCTACGGTCATTTATGCTCTCTCAGTAATTTGTCAGAAGAGTATCGAAATGAACACCATTGGCTTGCGAAGATGCATCCAGTATTACAGGATTTCAATTCTGTATTTTCCTGATTTTTGTGCAGTTGATAGATACAAGTATTATAACTATGTTTTCTTTGCATTTTATTAATAATGATCCAAATATACTTATGTATTCTGTCAATTGTGTTGCATCCAGGAAAAAACTATGAATACCAATAGTGTGAAATATATCTAAGTCTGTGTCCAAATCTGTGGTGAATACAAGTTCATGTCAGTTGCTAGTTTTTGTGGTTAGGTGTCCATGTACCAAAGTTAAGCAACACCAAGTGTGGTCAGGACATGGTTGAACTCTGTTGTATCTACGCTGTTACAAGATTAGTAAAGTAGCCGGGAGTCCTCGCCTCCCACCTCTCTATATGCAATTTTGATTGTATTTTATTGTGTGAAATGCTAAGCAAATACTTTGTGTTGTGTTACAACTTTTTATACGCCCATTGAAAGACGGAGGTATTATGGTCCGGCGTCCGTCGTAAACTTTCATTTGTCTGGAGATCTCCTCCTACATTTTTCAGCCGATCTTTATGAAACTTGGTAGGCTTAATCACCATGGTATGAAGTTGTGTTTTCCTGAACGGGGTTTTTATTTGGTGATTTGAACAAGAGTTATGGCCCTTTGTTTATTTCACTATAGAAATCTTGTCCGGAGATCTCCTCCCACATTTTTCAGCCGATCTTTATGAAACTTGGTAGGCTTAATCACCATGATATGAAATTGTGTTTTCCTGAACGGGGTTTGGATTAAACGATTTGAATAAGAGTTATGCCCCTTTGTTTATTTCACTATAGAAATCTTGTCCGGAGATCTCCTACATTTTTCAGCCGATCTTTATGAAAGTTTGTATGCTTAATCACCATGATATGAAATATCAAAATCTTGTCTGAATATTTCTTCTAACCGATGTTAATGCACTTTTGTAGGTTTTATTTTTCTGAATGGAGGTTAATTAGGTGATATATACAGAACCATTCCAAAAGGATTCAATCACTCAATATTTTTACGATAAATTTGAGTGAATATTTGATCATGTGATGAAAACGATCTTATATTCGTTTCCATTTGATGTGAGATTTATGAAACTCGCGTCAAACTTTTCATTTTACCTCGCCAAAGGCTCTGTAAAATAAAAACGTCTTAGGATCGTTTCATAGATTCCTACTTTTTTCGACTTTTGACTTCCATCAAAGTACACCAGGTGGAGGACTGTAATTCTTGAATTTTCTTCTTTGTTTTGGATATTCACGGGCGTATTTTGTTCCGCTTTGCGATACTCTTGTTTCATTTAGCAATAACATGTTACACATGCCTGGAGAGCTATTAAAATATCATAGATTATACAATCATATTCAATAAAAACAAAATCTTCAAAATGAGAGACGCGCTCGCTCTCCCAAACACTATTGTCCTGTTTTGTCCATTAGCTTTAGAAAATGTCATCAAGTTTGCATAATTTATAGTATTCCACTGAATCATACAAAATATAACCTTCAGGTTTCAAGTTTTATTCAAGTCACATGGGCCACTGACAGTATACAATACCTAAGTCAATGTGGACCTAGACATAGGCATATCTAAATCCTTGTATAAAGATTAACAGCAGTCTGATTCTGTTACTATCCATCATTTGTTTGCTTCATAAATGAGATCAGTGTTTAGTTTTAATTTATTCTCTACTTCAGAGAGCAAGTTATCCTCTTTATATATCATGCCATTTCATATTCTCACAAGCGCACGTGACAGGCCAGGTAACGTCAACGGCTAATTTTGGAGGCGACGTATGCGACGCTGCATCTTATCCCACACGTATTCTATGGGCGACTATCCAGTGACATTGCAGACCAGGGCAGCACATTCACATTGTTCTGGATCAAGATGTCAGTGACGGTCCTTGCAATGTGCGGGCGAGCGTTATCCTGTTGCAGCGTGGTGTTACGTTGCTGCACAAACCACAAGAGCTGCTCCGCCATGGAGTGAGATGCCACCCCCACCATGACACTACCTCCGCCGAATGGACGTCGTTGCTACACGATGACGTTGCTGGAGAACAGAACGTATGGCTGGACGTCGTGGACGTATGCCACGTTCAAGCTATCGATGGCGTACCGTTCGGGGACTAATTCTTCTGAGGCCAGGAATACTTCTAGTCGTCAAAAAAGCAGTTCTGAGTCGTTCACGGAGATGAACGACCATTGCAACGCACATTTCGTATTCTAATTCTCACCTTAAGTTTACGGTTAATTGGGCCATTGAGGTTTCTGTTTGACCTTTGTGATGAGATTTGTTTCTTTCCAAATGCATAAGTTGTAATATTCAGACCTGGAGCATACTTATATCTAAGTATGGCCATTCCAACCCTCATTTCAGATTCTGAATTTACAGTTTACTATTAATTGGACTTTATATATTAATTGTGAAATGTTTAGCTCTACGATAAGTCTTATTTCTCTCTATGTTCATATGTAATTAATTGTGATGATACAGTAAGACATATAATCACGTGTTAATTTTGTCGTTATTTACCACTAATTCTAGTGTAAACCTTTTCTTAACATTTTTCTGACGAGTCGAGTTGTTATTTAATGGTGCTCTACATAAAACTATACAAGATATCGCTACAGAGTAGAAGTTTTTGTATAACACATTCAGTAGAAGGTAAGAGTGACGTTTCGATGACTACACGACCACCTTCATTAGACAAATGACCAGTGTGGAGCGTACTGGTGTTCGGTAGGAATCGACCCACACTGGTCATTTGTCTGATGAAGGTGACCGTGTAGTTATCAAAACGTCACATTCTTCTACTGTTTGCGTTATAAAAACCTATAAACATAACCAACCCGAAGAAAATGTTCCAGGATGTCACTATATGTAATGTTACTTGGTTGAGATTTCGCAATGAAACTTATCAGTTTGTCTATCGTTATTCCGCGAAGTTTGAGATGAAATAAACAACAGACAAACCAGTGAATAGGACATTCCAATTCCAAAATCGGAATTAGATACAGTGGACCCAAGTTATGGATTAAACCTCATCATACAGCTGTCATGTCGTCAGTCTAGACCTCACCAGCAATGTTAAAGGTCTTAATTTTTGAAACTTGGGAGGCTTATAACAGGATCCAAATTGGACAAAAAAAATGTCAAAACCAGATGCACTGACCTCGAAATTCAATTAATTTCATAAATCTAAATATTGAATTATTTTTAAAGGACGTTAATTATATATATATATTCTGGACATTACCACTACTTAGTGTTTGAGGAATTAAAAAGTGGCATACCCGTTACGGCAAACTTTGAGTATTCCAAACCATCAGCAGTGTCTATCACCAACAATCTCGAAAACTGCACAAAGGACACACAGGTGAATAACACCTTTTATCAAAATTTCGAATAAGATAGTCAAATACTGAATTTGACTTCATCATACGGCTGTTTCGTCCTTCTTCCACTGTACTCATGTAGTTAACAGGTCTTCCAATCTTCGCTACGAAAGAACATTAGGGCCAAGGAGAGAAAACAATAGACAAAATAAATAACTCGACATTTCGACTTACCAACTCGAAATTTCAACATGCTAATTCGAAATTTTCAACTTGCTCCCTCGATAGTTCGACATACTTACTCGAAATTTCGAGTTATTGACATGAGAAAAAAGAGCCTTTTTTTCTCTGCGAGGCCTTTATGCTTTTCCGTTTATAATACTTGCAACAAGCGAAATGTATAAAAATACTGACAACGGGGGAAATGTGTAACAATACTGACAACAGGGGAAATGTGTAACAATACTGACAACAGGAGAAATGTGTAACAATACTGACAACAGGGGAAATGTGTAACAATACTGACAACAGGGGAAATGTGTAACAATACTGACAACAGTAGAATGTGTAACAATACTGACAACAGGGGAAATTTGTAACAATACTGACAACAAGGGGAATTTGAAACAATATTGACAACAGTGGAAATGTGTTACAACACTGACAATAGGGAGAATGTGTAACAATACTGACAACAGGGGAAATGTGTAACAATACTGACAACAGTGGAAATGTGTAACAGTACTGACAACAGGGGAAATGTGTAACAATACTGACAACGGGGAAAATGTGTAACAATACTGACAACGGGGGAAATGTGTAACAATACTGACAACGGGGGAAATGTGTAACAATACTGACAACAGGGGAAATGTGTAACAATACTGACAACAGGGGAAATGTGTAACAATACTGACAACGGGGGAAATGTGTAACAATACTGACAACAGGGGAAATGTGTAACAATACTGACAACGGAGGAAATGTGTAACAATACTGACAACGGGGGAAATGTGTAACAATACTGACAACGGGGAAAATGTGTAACAATACTGACAACGGGGGAAATGTGTAACAATACTGACAACAGGGGAAATGTGTAACAATACTGACAACGGGGGAAATGTGTAACAATACTGACAACAGGGGAAATGTGTAACAATACTGACAACGAATGAAATGTGTAACAATACTGACAACAGGGGAAATGTGTAACAATACTGACAACGAATGAAATGTGTAACAATACTGACAACAGGGGAAATGTGTAACAATACTGACAACAGGGGAAATGTGTAACAATACTGACAACGAATGAAATGTGTAACAATACTGACAACAGGGGAAATGTGTAACAATACTGACAACGAATGAAATGTATAACAATACTGACAACAGGGGAAATGTGTAACAATACTGACAACGAATGAAATGTGTAACAATACTGACAACAGGGGAAATGTGTAACAATACTGACAACGAATGAAATGTGTAACAATACTGACAACAGGGGAAATGTGTAACAATACTGACAACGAATGAAATGTGTAACAATACTGACAACAGGGGAAATGTGTAACAATACTGACAACGAATGAAATGTGTAACAATACTGACAACAGGGGAAATGTGTAACAATACTGACAACAGGGGAAATGTGTAACAATACTGACAACAGGGGAAATGTGTAACAATACTGACAACGAATGAAATGTGTAACAATACTGACAACAGGGGAAATGTGTAACAATACTGACAACAGGGGAAATGTGTAACAATACTGACAACGGGGGAAATGTGTAACAATACTGACAACGGGGGAAATGTGCAACAATACTGACAACAGAGGAAATGTGTAACAATACTGACAACGGGGAAATGTGTAACAATACTGACAACGGAGGAGACGTATAACGGGGAAAATGAATCCTCATTATTGCAACAAAATAAACTTATTCCAATACTGACAATTGGGAAAATGTATCCCAATATTATTCACTCCTCAAAAAAAACCATCAAGTATCTTTTTCAAATCTTGCCGTGACAGAGGCATCAAAACGGTCGTACATCTCGTCCTCTAAATCTTTGTAATCAAGCAACCTGTGCGGAGGATGATTGATACTCATTTCAAACACGTCCTTACGGATCCGTGTGCGGACGAGTGCAATATATCCGATATGCATTACGAGTGTCCATTGTGTAATTATTATTTCTGGTAGACAAATGCTTTGTGGAAAATTCCGTCTAAGACCATTTTGACCATAAGCGGACAACAGTGATATTCTGGGATGTAATTTGGTTTTTACACAGATAATGTTTTTCCTTTGATGGTCCGCGGACATTCTAGGCAACCGTCAACTGTTTTACCGTTCCTGGTTCATTCATATATATACTCGATCTTTTAATTTCTTTTCGCTCGCCCTTTGATGTTTTGTTAAATCATTCCTGGTGAAAACTTAGGGAAATTCGACTTCTAATTAGAGACGTATATAATCACGGACTTGTATATAAGTCCGTGATATAATGATATATACGTCTCTGTTCTAATCAAATGTTTCTAAACACCGCCTTCATGCTCGATAAGTATTGAACGGTTCATGACCCGATAAGTCGTTCATTTTCTGCTATATCCGCTATCTTTTGTTGTTCCCTTTCGGCTCCTGCAAAATTATTTTACCGATTGTCTCTACAATAATTGATCAAGTTACATTCTGATGTTTCCGTTTTCTCTCCAAAATCGGTGCTAGTTTATCTTCTACAACTTGATGAACAAAGTCCTCGCAGTCAGTCTAATTAATCGTCGAATTGGACTTCGAATATCGAAATCGAGATTTTTTAAGTGTTAAAAACGTTGTGCAATTTAAATAGTCTAAGATATCAAAATCCAAGCTGTTGAAATTTAATTTAAAGATCTATCATGATAATTCATGTTCAGAGACTTTTAAAAATCAGTCATAACTTGTTTTTTCAGTGCACCTTACCCAGAGGCGTAAAATAATAACATATGTCCACGAGCTCGCCAAAGCTGCCCTTACAGGGGAACTGGGGAAATAATACGCATTCATATAATGTTACATCCCCGTGGAAACTCGATATATGTAAGAAAATCGACTGGACGGTATCAGTTGTGTGTCGCTGAATATGCTATATAAACAGGAGTACCATAACTTCTTCATTGACATTTGGGCGTGTTACATATACGTCCCTGACTGTTACCATGAAGAACATGTAAAAAGGGCCATTTAAAAGTCGTTAGCTCTCATTTTAATTTTATTACCCGATCTACAGCCGCGAAATGTTTGCTTAAAGTTGTCGAATATTTACATCCTGATGCTTTCGTTTCTATTTCTTATTTTTCAAGATTTCCAATTATGTCAGTACCTCAACATAATGTTCGTTTACAATGATACATTCATATTTATCGATTTCATATGATGTGAACCTGGAGCAGGTGCTTGTTTGTGCTGCCATCTATTAACAGATCACATGTGTTTGAGCGGCGATTTTGATTGGTCAGGAGAGGGATGGACCCCCTGCGATGCCAAAATCATAACAAGCTTGTCGTTTTCTGCCATTATGGCTAACCCAAGGAAGTTCAGTGAAAAGATAGCATTACATAATCAAAAACAAGCAGAGGAAACCGCCGCTTTCGAGGCAATTATAAGGGATGTCTCGGCTGCAACTAGGGTAAGTTTTGTTGTAAGATTGATCGTAAACCGTCGAAATTAGCGGATAGCAGACCGAGGTTTGGGGATAATTTGTACAAAACGGTGACATACATATCGTCTCTTTCAGGGTTCGCCCGGCTATGCTACCCCAAATCAACACCTGCAGCCCCAGCAGAATATCATGGGTCAATACAGGGCAGGGTCACTGCCAAACGTTAACCAGATGGCCGGTAATTCGGCTGTAGACCTGCAGGTAAGTCGACTGCTACGACGTAGACTCGCTCTGAAATATAACATGGCGTCGTGCATCATCAATTTCGACTTGTTTTGATTGACATTTTGTCAAGATATAACTATTTTTGAATGCTTGAAAAACCATCGATGAGAAAATGTGTTCTCTTCTTTTAGACGACACTTCAGCACTTCGATGATATACGAGGCGGGCTAATACACAACCGTGGAATTGACAGACTACACAACCGGGACAGGGGGAGACAACTCGGACCACACAGACGTGCTTTCCCTATGGACAAGCAAAGGGTATGGTATACATTTTCAAGTTAGTAGCACTAGATGCCATAATTTGCATACTGAATGCAATTTTATAAACCTGGATCTTATGCCGTCGACAAGAAATGCTCTTTTCCCAATACATTTCACAAATACTCACGGGCAAAATTTGGGTCATGTTCACAGCTGCTGTACTTGGTAGACCTGTTGACCTACTTCTATGTAAATTGGAAAATATGTTGCCGATATACCTATAAAGTAGGGTAGCACTGGGCAGTCATCTTGATTATAAAGGTAACTGTTCATTGGTATTGAGGGATGTTAATAAAAGATGTTTATATCCCCATATAGGAACCATGGATGGTCTCAACAGAGAGGTGCTCGTACTTATCAAAAGAATGATTATGAATAGGGAAAAGGTTATGTAGTTGTGAAAAAAGTGAGGTGAATTAGGTTTCTAAATGAAAGAAAGAAATATGTCTGTTTTGTCAGAAACCCCTTTTATGAAGGGTCATTAACATGATTTTAATGATTCAACAGAAAGCTATTTATTTTGGCTTAAAAACATCCAACACTTTACGATGCCGTCATGATGATACATTAATTCAACAAGAGTAGTGCAGTCTAATAAGAAGATTTGAGGAATAAAAAAGTCCTGCATAATGGCGCATAAAATATTATTTAGAACTTGGTTTCTTCTGATTAAAGAAATTTGAACTTATCGAAAACAGATATACTTTATTAATGAAAAATTATCTTCCATCCCAAATTGAGGATGCCATGATCATGTGATGGAATTTGTCTTTTGAAATATAGTTTTCCTGTGTAACTTGACTGGAAAGTTTAATAATGCAGTCATAATGCAAATTACTCACTTATCTGGCAAAAGCCTCGGCTTTCATCTATTGTTGTTTGCAAGAAAATAGGGGTGACTATTGAGGCTAAAAACGCTATCATGATAGTATCGTGATTGTGAAACTACTATTGCAATAGTCAAGTGACTATTACAATACTAACATGATACATTTTTACCTTTTAAATATTTTTTCTAATCTAGAAATAAAGTGTCATTTACCATTTAAGTAATCAGAATGCTCAATTTAGCAAATGCTAAAGTGGAAAGGTTACTTACAATTTACATACAATCAAGTATGTTGCACAATATTTTTAACACTAAATTATATTTTCAGATTATTCATTTCATACACAAACACAAACACAAACATGCATTTACTGTGATATTGTTGTGAATCTTTTACACAGCTGGACTCAAAACTATTATTTTGATATAAGTCTCTCTTTACAGTAAATTTAGTACAATTATTTTCGACTTGTTTGATGTTTTAAAGTGATAAATTAATTCAACAATGATTTGATGTTTTGGTTTTGACACACTTCATAAATTATTGACAGAGTTGTGTCGATAAAATATAGTATAGGTATAGTAAAGGTAGGATTATTTAGCTACTTACCAAATGAAGGTACCTGTCATTTCACAAAGAAGAGTTTAATTGTGATCAGTTTTGAGACACTGTCATTATTTCTCATGTATTAAATCAAAATGCTGCCCTACACCTGTTTTTTGCCTTTTTATTGGGAATAATTTGGAAAATGCAACTACTCTCTTCCATGTTGTTTATCAAAATGGGTAATTTCAAGGATAGGTCTAAAACATTGACTAGGAGTTCAAAGTAACCACCTCCTCTCCTATGGTGTGTAGATTTAATTAGATCATATTGGAAACAATAACGATTTAACATTTATTCAAGTTATAAACTGTCTCAGCTTATGCTTACTTAAATTTTGTTTTGGTTCTAAGTGGGTGATTGTGCTGTTCTTGTATTTAGCACTTCCCCAATCGAGGGCCAAATGACACTGTCATAAATAAACAGAGGTTTACAGTCGTTTGGCAATAACTCTATGAAAAGTCTTGGTTTCAATTAGCATTTTTGTTTAGTTGTAAAACTATCTTTAACAATCAATAGTTGAACAAACTATTGCAATAATTATCAACTTGAAAATATACTATCAACCTGTTGCTATCAAGAGGAAAGATATCCCAATACATCAATAAGTTGACCTATCGTTAAGACACTAACTAGAAATATGTTCTTTCATCATGTTTTAGTCAGAGTCAAGGGTTTCTTATTGGTTCCCAGATACTTCTGCATTTCTATCTAGAAATGAGCTTATTCTTGGTAATAAGCCCACAAATATAGCTGTTTAGGAACTTACTAAATAAATAGATAATAGGCTTATCATCTAAACTTTAATTGTAGAAAGTATTTGATTGGCTATTTAGGTTTATTGCAAGATAGATACAAGCGTTTTAACAATTTAAGCATTGAATTTATTTCTGCTGTCATGTTGTCCTGTAAAACATGCTTAGGTAAGAACTTCGATATTGGACAAAAGTGACAAGGAAACACTAAACACAAAATTTCTTACAGGAACGTTTCTTGTAATGAGTCGGAGACGGCATGACTATTCACTTGATTAATGGGTATCCTTGTTGATGCATCAACTTTTAATCACTAATTTCATTGACATCGGTATAGTTCAGTTTTATAGCCCTTTCCATATTCAGACCTCTTTAAAATTCAAATAAAAGTAGTTGTCAGTATAAGCTCTGACTGAAATGACAAGTACATATAAGGAGCTTTGTCGTTCCACTTAAATGATGGCGGCAATCTCGCATGCTTATTCTATGGATACATTAACAAGGGGTGACATTTTAAGCTATTAAATATCTAGTAAATGTAACCAAATCTGTTCCAAATTAACTTTTGATTAAATGTTACAATACATGAAAATTTGAATGGTAATCCAAACATTAATCTTAAGCTGATTTGAAATATTTTAATGATCTATTTTACTTTTCTTTCCTTCTCTGTGCTTTGCAGTAAATTGCAAGTAGTCTATTGTTCGTAGAGTACTCTGTAGGGAACTTGTCCAGGTCATCTTTAACTGTCATGGCTGTGTTCTTTGAGGAAGCACTTTACCTAAGTTATAATTACTTAACAAAGCATATGATAGTCCTCCGCAGTCATGCAAGTTGTTCAGTTAGGTAGCCACAAGCTTCTTCAAAGAGGCTATGTCAAAAATATCTTCTCTGTTCCAAGGATGATAATTATATAAGTAATTTATCTGTAGGGTTTACAAGGATGATATGGGCTTAGGTAAGTCATAACATAATGAAAAACTATATATTTTCAATTCATAATAATTTTAAAGCTTTATATAGATATATTGGTTTTCTTTGTACTTTCAGACTGACTGTTCCCCATATGGTTCAGCATTCCTCACTCCTCCTCCGGATACAAGCTGGCGCAGGTAAAAATAATAGCTGGGCTCTATGAAATGTTAATTTCAGGTGTGACTGATCATCGTTTTAAGGATTGATATTTGAATGTAAAATTTGTCTTGTGGTATCTGTTTTACACATATTTTAATAGTCAATAGTCAACTATAGCCTACTATTTTCTCTTTGAACAAATGAATGCCTTAATATAAAGGTTAGCTTTATCTAAATATCATACCAATTAAAGATTGAAAATTCACACTTTCTATGTAAACAGGCCTATCAGACATTTTGCTAGTAAAATATTGCAATGTATTACAGAATCTGCAAGCATTCCTCATGTGTTTTTATTTTCTTTGAGGTCACTTGCAATGAATTAAGGTTTGATAACAGGCTTGTTGGATACATGTGGGGACTTGAGTATTGATGCCTGTTACCATTACATCATGTTCAGTGCAGAATTCTTCAACTGTATATACATACAGTTATTAAGCAAAGAATGTCTTCTATAAACGAATAAATTTATGAATTCATGTCAATCAAAATATATTTGATATACCATTTGTATTATTGGGAACCCATTGATTAAAATGTTTTACTCAACCTGCTTATTGAAATATTAAATATTCAATCAGTTAGCCCTAATATTTCTACATGTTAATTGTAATCTTGAAAGTAAATGGTTTAGAACAAAAAATCTTTTGAAATCACTGACTGAAAGTCTTATCACCAAACATTAAAGAATAAAAAGGTTTTATCAAATGACCATGTCACCCAGGTAGGTTATAATTGAAACAATTAAGTGTTTTCTACTACCTTTTTTGAGTCATTGTATGTGATCATTGATAAAAAGTGGTACTATTTTCGTGTCTGTTGTGAAGGAATGCACATATATATAGACAGAGCTTTTTTGTGTTCTGTTGAACACCAATAGCATGGGTGGATGGAATGGTCATAAATCATCAAAATTGTCCTTTAAATCCCGAATCGTCAAATGGAATATTATAAAGAGTAGGTAAGATTTCTTTTCAACAACTTTAAAGATGAATTGGTCACATTGAAATGGAATTATGGTGCTGCTCTAACTGAAATCAAGAAATCGCAGAATGAAAGCCAACTCCCCCAGTAGATTACTTAAAACTTTTAAACCTGTTTGACCGTCAGCCATATTTATTATTGTAAGACTGTTCCATCTGATGCTGCATTGCTAGCTACTACATGAGCAGGTGAACAATTAATCAAGTCATGTTTCCATATAAGGACAAGTGGATAGACAGTTTCTTGTTCCTCAGTTCCATTTGTTGGCCAGATCTACATATGTATTGTAGCTTTTAATTTCTGTCTTACACATATTGTTGCAAAATGGAATTTACTCTTTCTTTGGTGAGACTGCAGTCATTTCGGTTGCTGATCCAAATTACCAAAATTTCTTACTTCATTTCAAATTAAAGATGTTATATTGTAATCAAACTACTGGTATAAAATAACTCTAGATTATTCTGCATTAGGAAATGTTATATATGATACTTGTTTGGAATCAAATTCATTTTGGGCTGGATTTTGACTCCTATAAATTCCTTTCAGAGTAACATGCAATGGACAGATTGTGGACCTCACTCCCTATGCTAAAGACTGATTTTATTCTTTATCATAATTTCTAATTGTATTTGATTTTGATTTTTTTACATTATATTTGAAAAAGGCAGGACCAATCATTCATGTTTTTTCCTGAGAATTAAGAAAACACATTCAAAGGAGAGAGAACATGAGTTGCACATGAATCAGTTGAATTGTTTTTGTCCTAGTATCAATTCAAATGTACCATAGTAAATGAGAAAAAAAATCATGTAAAAACATCATATGTACATGGTTGCTTTAGGTGACAACTTTGCCAAGGAAATTGCTACTATTGCTTTGTTGTGATCTCGTCTACTGAGGTAAAATAATTGTAAATCTGACTCTATTTAATTTCCAGAATCAATTTAGTATTTGTTTTTGGCCATTTACAATTGGCGAACAACTTTTGTCACTAAGTTGGCAATATTTCAGTTCAGGTATTAGGTAATCAAATGAAATAGAAAATATCATAGGGACATTGTCACTGTTCAAAATATTTAAATTGAAAATTTTGGATATTTACATTTGGAAGGATTTTTCATCTCATGACCAGGGTCATGTGGAATTGTGAAATTCTTTAATGTGGGAAAATGTCAATATACATAATTGTGTATACAAGTAAAAAAGGAAACATTTATACTTTTTTTGTGTTTTAAATTTATCTGGTCAGATTGGGATTTAAAATTTTTTTTTTTTATTTATGATTTGTACTTTAGTATGTTGTAAGTTTCTGTCCTTTTCAGGAAATGAAATTGGACTGACATGTAGTGTATCTAATAATTCTCAGTGCTATCATGATCATTTCTCCATGAAGACGTTCCCCTTTAAAGTTGCCTCAGCCTTCGTGTTACCCATGTTCATTTTATTTTGTATTGTTGTGAATTTCTTTTGTCTGCTTTCAATATTTTTGCAGGTTTCTTGAGACCAGTAAGATTTTGATTTTTTTTTCATGAATGAAAATTGCAGTTGGGAATCAGCGCCAGTGATGTAGGAAGAATTCTTAATTTGGAAAATTTTATAGATGGAAAAAAATTAGCTGAATTGTCTGAAATGAAATTTCTGTTAGCATTCATAATTAGCTCTATTGTGGCTTGGCCTGAATATTGGAAGTAAAGTGTTTGTCATGTGTATAGATTTAGTTTATACCTCTTCAAACAAAACTAAACTTAGATTTAATTTATAAGATCTCATATTCAGATCATCAACTGAAGAGCAGAAAATTATGAGAAGTTAAGACTTGATTGCTGGTATTGATTGCTACCAAGTGTTCATTAAGTAATGACCTCTGCATGTATGCAAGGACACAAAGATCCAAATTAAGTGAATGAATTTGAATTAATCAGAAGATTTTGCAGCAGCAATCATTAGATCATCTTTGATATACAATGTATATATATAGAGATAATTTTAGATAATTTGTTGTCAAGTTGTTATAAAGATATCTAGTTTAGTTATTCTTGAGGTTAATAAACACAAGAGGTTGAAAATGTGGCAAGTAATGAATAGTTCACTGACCCTGAGAATATCTGCAATCAGCTGATTGTGTTGGCGATCCACATGTTGTTTTACATTAATTTTGTTTTATTTTCAGCTCTGAATTCTTGCTCTGCTCCTTCTATAATTTAAGTTTTGTTGTTTACAATTGTATTTTTTTTCAAGCTATCTTGATTTTATTTGGTTGTTGAGATTTGATCTCAGGGCTCACCCTGTCATGGAGAATTGCTGGGCACTGTAAACCCTGTGACTGTAAACCAACTATTTGACTGAGAAATCTTCAACATAATGTTAATGAAAGAAGTTAGGACATATCCTTAAAGAGATAAAAAAAAAAAAAAAACAGCAACAGAGTGTGTCTTTTATTCACTGATTTTTGATATACTAAAGTATCTTGACAGATCCTGTCTGCTGTTGCATCTTGTGACAGACAAAAAAATAGATTATTAATAGACAAGTTGCTTAGAGATCTGCACATATTTGATACATATGTCTGTTATGAACAGGAAGTAAACATTTAGTAAAGAAAGGAAACATAAACAGATATGCATTATATACAGCATTATAAAGATGTACATTATAGGCAGATACAGTTTAGATATAGATGTAAGCAAGGGTACATTAGAGGCAGATATAGGTTTAGATATAGATGTAAGCAAGGGTACATTATAGGCAGATATAGGTTTAGATATAGATGTAAGCAAGGGTACATTAGAGGCAGATATAGGTTAGATATAGATGTAAGCAAGGGTACATTATAGGCAGATATAGGTTTAGATATAGATGTAAGCAAGGGTACATTAGAGACATATATATGTTAGATATAGATGTAAGCAAGGGTACATTAGAGGCAGATATAGGTTTAGATATAGATGTAAGCAAGGGTACATTATAGGCAGATATAGGTTTGGATATAGATGTAAGCAAGGGTACATTATAGACAGATATAGGTTTAGATGTAGATGTAAGCAAGGGTACATTAGAGACATATATATGTTAGATATAGATGTAAGCAAGGGTACATTATAGGCAGATATAGGTTTAGATATAGATGTAAGCAAGGGTACATTAGAGGCAGATATAGGTTTAGATGTAGATGTAAGCAAGGGTACATTAGAGACATATATATGTTAGATATAGATGTAAGCAAGGGTATATTATAGGCAGATATAGGTTTAGATATAGATGTAAGCAAGGGTACATTAGAGGCAGATATAGGTTTAGATATAGATGTAAGCAAGGGTACATTATAGACAGATATAGGTTTAGATATAGATGTAAGCAAGGGTACATTAGAGACATATATATGTTAGATATAGATGTAAGCAAGGGTATATTATAGGCAGATATAGGTTTAGATATAGATGTAAGCAAGGGTACATTAGAGGCAGATATAGGTTAGATATAGATGTAAGCAAGGGTACATTATAGACAGATATAGGTTTAGATATAGATGTAGGCAATGGGTACATTATGGAGGGTTACATAATAGTTTGGTACATATGTGAGAAAGGTGTATATTGTGCTTTGAAGGTAAGGGTTCATGATACAGGAAATCATTATAAAGGAGAGGGTTTAAAGATAGAGGGTACATTTTAATAGGGGTGGGATGATAATATAGGAGAAGGGAAATTATTGGAGGGAGAATGGTATAGAGAGTAGCTCATAGCAGGGTACATGAAATGAGTGGGTACAGTGTAGGAGTGGGTTACATGATATGAGAGAGTATATCATAGAGGGGTGGGGATGGGGTTATATTATAGGGGTGGGGATGGGGTTATATTATAGGGGTGGGGATGGGGTTATATTATAGGGGTGGGGATGGGGTTATATTATAGGGGTGGGGATGAAGTTATATTATAGGGGTGGGATGGGGTTTTTTTAAAGGGATGGGGATGAAGTTATATTATAGGGGTGGGGATGGGGTTATATTAAAGGGGTGGGGATGGGGTTATATTATAGGGATGGGGATGAAGTTATATTATAGGGGTGGGGATGGGGTTATTTTAAAGGGATGGGGATGAAGTTATATTATAGGGGTGGGGATGGGGTTTTATTATAAGGGTGGGGATGGGGTTATATTATAGGGATGGGGATGAAGTTATATTATATGGGTGGGGATGGGGTTATATTATAAGGGTGGGTATATTGTAGAAGTGGATACTATTATGAGGGGATGTATCATAGAGGGAACACATAATAGAGGATGAATGCAAAATACAAATTGAAGTTATAGATACGAAGATATCAGGGATTTTACTATTTCTTACTACAGATACTTTTTAATATATTTCTTACAAGAACTAACAAAAAATATAGTTGATTTCCTGTAAGAATTGTTGGTTTACAGTTTTGTTGTGTAATGTCTGTGCTTGTGTTGTCTGTAAGAAGAAGTGACAATCATGTATGAGATTGTGAAATATATTCATTGTGATATACGGTAAATGCATAACCTACACAAACAGCATTGGTCTAAATATTGAGCATCTTTTATTAGCATTGTGAATTAAGGCAAATGCAAAATGTCCCTAGAAAACTTTTGAGATTGCAGAAAATGTGTCTTGTGTGAGAAGCGAGTGTTGACAAGTAATGTAGACAGGGAGTTTCTTGTGTGAATAGTGTGCATTGAAGATGGGGAATTCCTTGTGTGAATAATGAACATTGAAGATGGGGAGTTTTTTGTGTGAATAATGAGCATTGAAGATGGGGAGTATCTTGTGGGAATAATGAACATTGAAGATGGGGAGTTTTTTGTGTGAATAATGTGCATTGAAGATGGGGAGTTTTTGGTGTGAATAATGAATGTTGAAGATGGGGAGTTCCTTTTTGTGAATAATGAGCGTTGACGATAGGGAGTATCTTGTGTCAATAATGAGCGTTGAAGATGGGGAGTCTCTTGTGTGAATAATGAGCATTGGAGATGGGGAGTTTTTTGTGTGATTAAAGTCAGTGTTTAAGATGAAGAGTGCTTCATTTGAGCAGAGAGACTTCTAGATTGTGAATTTTTTGTTTGAGCAGTGAGTGTTGATGTAGACAGGGAATGTCTTTTGTAAGAGTGAGTATTGTAGACAGAGAATGTCTGGTGTTAGCTTTGAGTATTGATGTGGAGAGGGAGTGTCTTGTGTCAGAATGAGTATTGTGGATTGTGTCTGGAGTGAGCAGTGAATATAGTTTTTGGTTTGTAGAGTGTCTTGGATTGGTTAGTGTTTGTGTTGTGAAGATTCATCATCCGTTTTATGAACAGTAAAAATGCCCTGAACAAAAAGCATCACTGATTTTACAATACTCTGTTCTAAGACCATTGGTCAATTTTACTTTCCTGACTGTGATTACATATAATCTTCGCAATGATGAAAAACGATAATTATCCTGATTTTAGGGAAAATCTCTGATTGAACAAAACAAGTTCAGAGAGAATAAGCGATTTGCAATTCAATCTCTATCCCATTGTCCTGTTAAGATGAAGATGAAAGTAAAATCATTGAGCTTTTTATGTTTATGATGAATGTCTGTAAATGTGTTTGTGTACACACATTGCCTCCATGTTAACAGTGTGAGCCCTTGCACGTTTTTCATCACTTGGTATCCATTTTATGGAGTGTACCCATTTCAGGTTATTTCGTCATCTTAACGGTCCTAACCTATCTCGGTGAGTTTTTCTTTCTCCATTACTGCATTTTCTGCCGCTGTGAAAATCCCGTCCAAAATCCTATGTATTGCTTGTATCAGCCAAAGTACGCTCGGGGTGTCTGAGCCACTGTCTGGAAATATTGTTTGCATATCTCTTTGAATGCAGCAGGCATGCATGACACATTGTCAGTCTTCTGTCCATCTGATAGCATTCTATGTATATTGTCAATCCTCTGGCAAATAGATTTGTCTGTTCAAAAATAGTAACCCTTGCAATAGCTTCTCCTTGTCAGGACATTCAAAAAGACAATGGTAAGAATATAGACCTGTTTCAGTTACTTCCCTATGTGTTCTTTGAGATTATGATATATGATGAAATTTAATCAGATTTTTAAGTAACAAATATATAGCAATTCTGATAGATTTTTCAGAAATCCGTCTAAAAGAAATGTCAGCACTGAGTAATATCTGTAAACTTATTTCCGATCATGGCCTACAGTAATCAATAAATATTTTGTAAAAGAAATGTTATTGAATTTCTTTCATTATATAAAGCAGGTGTTTTTCGTAAAGAAGTAGTTACTGTTTCCAAGAGCAGTGATGAGGATAAATATGACTTTGAGATGTAGAACATCTGTTAATTTACAGAGTTTGTACTAGGATGTCATTAGTTTGAAGATCAGGTTGAATAATTGTAATACCATAATGATTCAACAACTATCCCTTGTCTGGTAATGATTGGTTTTGCTGATTTTATTGCTCCGTAAACAGACAGGGTCATTTTGGGATGTAGTCTCCTTGTAGCAGTTGGTGGCTTTCTCACTGAGCAACATACGAGAAGCCTGTCACATGCCATCCATAGCAATTAGCGTTAATTGTCTTGTTTGAAGGCCAATCATGGATGCATGGACCGGTCCATTTCTTAGTTTTGTCAGAAACAGAAACTGCTACAGTTAGGGAGCATGGAATTATGCACCTTGGATGTTCACCTGAGTTACTGAGACCAACACTTTAACTGAATGAGTTATTGGGGCCCATCAGATAATAGAACCGTTCTACTCAAATATATCTTGCTCTTTAATAACACATTCACTAATAACCATTGATATTTTGTTCGTTAATAAGCCAACCACATAACTAGTATGATAAATAAAAATGTCGGCAAGGAGGATTATTACAGGAAAAATACAGCAGTTGAAATATCACATTTCATCAAGCTGAAGTAGCTACACATGTGTATGGATTCTCGACTACTGTTATATCATGTTATTCTTAACACTTCTTTGCTGATAATTGTGTTTAGATCTTCTGTTCAATAATCACTTTTTAATATAGTCCATGAAAACATTTACTGTAAAAACATGATTTTTCAGGGGTCTTATTTTTGCAAAGTTGTTGGTTACTCTTTAACTACAAATTTACAGATGAAAGATAAACATTTAATAATTGGTATGGATTAAATATATACAAGTGGATTTCATGAGCAGGATTTATACATGAAATCTCAATCAGGTGCCAACAAAATTTAACCAAGATCTGCTGCAGAAAACAGTTTCAGTCTAAGCTTAAAGATTAGGATGTGCACATTGTGTTGAGAAATCTGCTGAAGACCAAAATTTCTGGCCCTTACAGCAACATTCCCTATATTTGAAGAGAAGCCTGCCAAAAGTTTACAGAACATGGAAATACTAAATGCAAGTAGATGGCTGAATTTTTTTTAGAAAAAAAGTTAATTAGTATTCAGGCTTATAATGAAAACTGAATTTAATTTGAAAAATTGTCATTTTTTTTTCAATTTTTTCCAACCTCAGAAATAATGAAAACACCATGAAATTCAAATCCTGTTCATCTGAGACAGTATTAATGTCTTAATCAGAAGGTTCAGTTTGGTTCCTTGTCTGATTTGTGCATACACTCAGAAAGAATCATGTAAAACACAGTTTTAAGATAAATTGGTTGGACATTTATTTTCAAATCTTATAAATGAACATGTGTAGCTTCTCAGTACTGAAAAGGCACATTTTAAGTAGCTTTATAAGAAATTTTGCAGAAATGTTGGAAATTTTATGATCTTGAGCTTGATATCAATATTCTGTGTCAACCTTCTACCAGCATATATGTTTGAACATGCTGCAACATCCCAGCATAGTGACCTTTAGATCTGCTATATCTGCTTAGATTATCACCTCTACCTAGGCCTGGTAATTGTTAATATGGTGATGTGAGAGGTTAGTATTACATTATGTTAACTGTAAAGCCTTATAGCTGTAAGTGTTGTCAAAAGCTAGTATTTAACATGCTGTGATATTCTGACCAGTGATACAGAGTCCAGATTAGTGTTAGGATAAGGTATATATGTGTATAAGTATATAATTAGATATTAATCTGTCCGTCTGTGGAATCTTCTTCGTAATGTCAGTAGTGTGGCATTTATGATTGTACTGCATCAAATTTGATCATTTGGCACTCTCATATCGTGTTCACATAATCAGTAAAAGGATGTATAGTCTGATATTGGGACATGTCATTGACTTATCAAACTAAAAAAGAAATGAAAGTATACATTAGAGTGAGTATTCAACCTTTGTTTTGACAAAGGAACAATGAAATACAGATGAACAAATCAGGTCCCTTGTGCCTTTTGTTTTTTAAAAATTTTTCAAAATAGAAGGAAGATGTCATTGCTAAAATGTATGCTTGAACTGATTCAGAGATATGCAAACAGTATTTATTATATATATTGACTAGATATGGATATCAGTGTCCTGTCTGTAAGCTGGCTGACCAGTACTTGTGTCTGAAAGCATGATTGATTGAAATGGTGTGTTTGTAGTCCGACCGTGTACTGGATACTAACTGTAGTGGACAATAGGATACTGCCAACATAAGTTATTAGCTTTCACTTAGTACACAACTTTTCACCTGCCTGTTTATTTAGAAATAATTAATATTATCAGTTATTCCAATTGTCTGCTTTTAAACATACTCTACAGTTAGGTTAATGGTCGTGGGTGATTTGATTTTGCTATATTCATGTGATATGCTATAAAATTATATAACTGGCAGACTTTTTTACAGTGAATTAAAATCTTGGAAATTGTATTTTGCCTGTATTCAGGGATAAATACAGTGCAAATTCCCCAAAGTGATCCTTATCAAAAGTTATCACCTCTATCCAAGTCTAGATCGGTCAACTTGCTTCACTTCTACAAACCAAAGCCTCCCTAAACCGACCAAATATTCATGTCCCATCCATTGTCGGTTTGGAGTATTAAGCTTTCAAGTTTACTTCTAATTTATAAAGTGTACTTTGTTTTTGACATTAATGATATCCATATATTGGTAAGGAAAGAGGGAATTGTTTTGACAGTTACAAAGTATATTTGTCCTAATCTTCCTGGTCAGAATTTCCGTAGGCTTTTAACTTATATTGGCAGAATCCTTCCTGGGAGATTTGATGCATTGGAAGGGTGTGGTGTGTCTTATTGATAATCATATGTCAATGGCAGTGTGTTGTTGAATATTTGAAATTTTATCTTTAGACATGTAGCTGTACAGATGTGTAGCTACATATAGGATATGATGTGTACTGTGTGTATTATTAATTACGTACTAAGAGTGACCCACAGAGGTATGATATCGCTATTTATGCAGGTGTGACATATGCAAGTTTCAAATGATATTAGCTACAAATTATGCATAAAATTGTAGCTTCATTGATAAGATGTATTAGATATACCAACAGTGTGATCAGCATGTATGAAACCCACTCACACAGGAATTTTCAGTAATATACAGGTATGTCTATTTATATACAGGTATGTTTAGTTATATACAGGTCTGTCTATTTATACCGGTATGTTTAGTTATATACAGGTATGTTTAGTTATATATAGGTATGTCTATGTATATACAGGTATGTTTAATTATATACAGGTATGTTTAATTATATACAGGTATGTCTAGTTATATACAGGTATGTTTAGTTATATACAGTTAGGTTTAGTTATATATAGGTATGTCTATGTATATACAGGTATGTTTAATTATATACAGGTATGTTATAGTAGACTTCTACATATAACTGGCTATACACACAGGTATGGCTTACATAAGATATTGAATTACATGTATTACATCTAAAATAGCTGAATAGGTATATTGTAAAATGTCTAAAAGCAATTTAGTAAGACTTGTATCTATATATGGCATGTACATGAAAGTTTGACCTATTTTATGTACAGCTATATATATGCAGGTGACAAGTGAGATATACATATCTACAGGTGTGTAATAAATATAAACAGGTCCTATTGAAATATTTGATGAACAGTTGTGACACATCTGCAGGTGTGTGAATGAAGACAGCATGTCAGTAAGCTGGTTTTTGGTTTACCTAGAATGAGATTGATACTAGCTGTAGTATAACATGGTTATAGGTATAACAATTAAGAGGACCATAGTAAAACCAGGTGTGGAGTCCCACAAAACACTAGGATAATGTCAGTGAGCATGAAGTTAGGTTCAAGGTGTCAGCATTTGTTGTGGAGGGAAAATGGCCAATTAGCTATTGCTTTTGAGATTATACATGAAAGCGGTGAAGATGGATCTATTCATGATTTGCAGCTCATTCATGATTACAAAGGCATGGACATTTGCTCTTGACTAAACTGCATGTTAAACAGATGTGATGGGGATCCTATACCAAATGTATTCATATTACAGTGTTTTCTATTGAAGGTTTCAACATGATTGCACGGTGAAGTGACTAACTATCAAGTATATTGTATTCTGCTTTAAAATACATTATTATATGTGTGCATTGTTTTCAGTTCCGGCACAGCTGTTCATTCTTATTTTCTCAGATTTAACTTGTTTATAATGCAGAATGGTACAGAAAACATCATTTTTCACTCTGTACTTTGAATGACTATATACTGTACTCCTGAAAATATACCTATTTAATAGTATGAATAGAAGGAGGATGAGAAATTTTTCTATTGCTGTAAGGGAATGGCT